GAGCAGGTGTGGCTCTCCTTCCCGCGGTGGATCGGGGCCCAGCCTACCTCCCGGCGCTTGAGTGATGGTGGCTGGGTCAGGAGCAGGCATGGTTCTCCTCCCTCCAATAATATTCTTAAAGCAAGCAAATTTAGAATACCATAGGAATTGTTTTTTAACAAAAATTATGGAAAAATCTTGAAGCAAAATTCATATTGCAAAATTCCTCCAATTTTTGGTTGCATAATCTCTATCTCCACTGCTATGGCATTTTTTTCTAATATGAGAGAGTAATCCATTAAAGTTTTTATTTTCTCCAAGAAAGCCCTATAGAAGCGATTGGCACATAGCTTGCTTGCTCTCTAAGTGAATCTCTGAAAGGCAGTGGAACTGGTGACTGGTAAAGTGTATCTAGAAAGTAGCATGAAATGCTTTGCTTTGTAGTCAAAAATAGGAGTACTGTACAAGGAAAATGTGATGTTAATCATTGGTAAAATTCCGAGTTACATAAATATTTAAACCTATGTTTGTGATCTGAAGATATAATCTTCAATAGTATTTAAGTCATAGATAAATCACTTTTTTTTCCAGTACTGGGAATGTATCCACAGCCTTCAGCATGCCAGGCAGGTGTAGCAGTGTGCTACACCCTCACTTCTATTTTTTAAATTATGATAGATTATCTAGAAATGTCCTGTTTTAACTATTATTAGGCACAGTAGCATTAAGTATATTCATAAGGTACCACCATCACTGCTATCCACCTCCAGAAATTTTTTATCTCCCCAAAATGAAACTACAGAAGTTAAAACTCTAACTCCTCATTCCTTCTTTCTTCTAGCTCCTGGCAAACACTCTTCCATTTCCTTTCTCTATGTACTTAACTACTCAAAATAACTTCACAAAAAATAAATATATACATATGCAAAAATCATACGTATACAAAATGTCCTTTGTTTCTGGTTTGTTTCCCTCAATCTTATGAGCGGACATAATTTCACTGAGATTTCAACTATGTAGAGGTTCAACCATTCTACAATATTGTAGACCATGTTAGCTTTTGATTTTTAAGCTTAAGTTCCATTGTGTATACACTATGTTTTATGTATCCAATCATACATTAATAGACATTTGGGTTGTTTGCGCCTCTTGGCTACTGTGAATAATGCTGCTGGGAACACTGCAGCACAATATCTGCTCTAGTTTCTGCTTTCATCTCTTTTGAGCATGTACACCAAGTGGAATTCCTGGATAGTATTGCACTGTCATGTTAACTCATCAGTGGTTTCCACAGTGGTTGCACCACTTTATGTTTCTATGAGTAATCCAAAACCACTTCAGTTTTCCCACACTCTCACCAACACTTATTACTTTCTGGGATTGTCTGTCTGTTTTGGCAACAGCTATCCTAATGGATGTGAAGTGGTATTTCACATTTTATTGTAATTTTCATTAGAATTTTCCTAGTCATTAGTACTGTTGAGAACCTTTTTACATGCTTAATGGCCATCTATATGTCTCTTTTGTAAAAATACCCATCCTAGTCTTTTACCCAGTACTGACATTGAGTAGCTGGGATTTTTTGGTGTAGATGTGTAGTAGTTCTCTATTAACCTCTATATCAGTTATATGAAGCACCAGAAGTCTCCAGCTGCCAGATCCGGTGAATAAGGTGGACAAGGACACACTGTAATGTTATATGAGACTGCTTTCCCATTGGATGGCATTTGGCAGCATCATTAATTGTATTTTTTATTATGTCTTATAAAGACAGATGGTTTCTATCTGTGACTGGGGATATAGCTTATTGTGAAGGCCCCGGATTTAATTCCCAGTACCTCACTGGAAATATAATTAGTGTTATATTTACCCATTCTTGTAGTCTGAAAGGGAAAAAATGTTTCAAAGCATTCAATGCTTACATATTTCCTATCATTTCCTTAAAAAATGTATATTTAAAAATACTCTGCAAAAGATCTAACAGTAGAGTATTTATCATTTTAACACAATAGAAGTTCTATTTGTATTCAGAGTCATGAGGAGAATCTGAAGAGAATGCTTAGATATACCCTTGAGACTTTTTAATAATTTCTAAAATTAAAATAACCTGTAAGAGAAAGATTTCAGTTGTTTAGCTCTTATCACAACTTTTTGAATTATAATAAATCAACCCCTATATTTGAAAGATGAAAAATCTGACTCTACAGTTCTAACTGTAAAATGTCACATGGTCAGAAAATATTAGATCCAAATCTCCCAGTCCAGGACTTTCCCATCTGTGCTCTTATGACAGATGTTTGTCCTCATACTATACAGATCTGAGTAGAAGAAAATTCCAAGTTGCTAGACTAGTATACTTCTCATAAATGTTTCAAAAATGTATCACAGGACTCAAGGGAAGATTCTGCATTATATATAATCTCCATCTTTGCTGTTGAGTATTTGAAGATCCTCTAGAGCAAGTCTTTAGAATGTCAAGAGAAGATGTTTTAAACCTGTCATTTGCATGATGCTTGAATCATATCTCTCTACACTATGCCATTAGATGATAAATTTTTTTTAAATAAAATTCAAGCAAGAAGTGCAAGCAACTAAATGTTTTGAAGGGAAGGGGATAATTTTCTTTTTCTACTTATTTTATTTCAATTAATTTTTCAATCCCGCCTAACAAATGTTGAGTATATGCCAAGAATTGTTAAAATGAGTAAGATACAATTTTACATGTCACTTTATCAACATCTAAGAGAGGACTGCATATGCCATCATCCCTTAGTGTCTCAAAGCTTAGATCAAGAACCCCAGAATACACTCGTGGACACCAAAATCCACTGATCCTTAAGCCCCTGTGTAAAAGGTCATAGTGTTCACATATAATCCACACACAGCTTCCAGTGCACTTTAAATCATCACCAGGCTACTTAGAATAGTAACAAAAATGCTATGTAAAGAGTTGTACTATTTAGGAAATAATGACAAGGAAAAAGACTGTAACGTTAATACGGACACAACCATGCTAGGCCTACCTCCAAAGTATGTCCTGTTCAGTTATTTGAATCTGCTGATATGGAGGCTGTGAATACCCCGGGTCAGGGCATGAGGTGGGAGGAGATTAGTGTAATCAATCTCTTCAACCTATTCCTTGGAAAATTTGAATTTTAAAGAGTTGTAAAAGATGGAAATAAGCTAACAATTACCAGATTTGGTCTTTCTGGAAATTATGGGCCTGAAGTACTAATAAGATCATTTTGGGAAGGGGAACGCCATTATGTTTGAGACTTCAGAGCCACATTTAAAATACCTCAGGCTAATTACTGTTAATTTTGGGGATGAACTTATTTTTGATAATGAGAATGGACTAAGGAAGGTCTAGAGTTCCTGCTGTTAATGAAATTACATTGAGTTGATACATTTCTATGTGATGGTTTTCTTTTTGAAAATTTAGTATTAAGGACTCAAAATCCATCCTCCACCTGAGATTCCTGACTACTGGAAATCTTTAACCAATCACAGTAGTTTTTTCCTTTTTATTTTCATAATTTTGATTAGACATTGTTTTGATTTTTTTGTAAACATATTTCATCTTAACATAGCTTTTTCTGATCTTTAAAATTTTAATCAAAGATAGAATCCCATTTTTAATTAAAGAAGTAACAAAACCACCTTTCCCCATTCCTTTAGGAAATAGCTCTATTGCCAAAGTGAAGAGATAGATAATAATTCATCTTGTTACATAATGGGGTTGTGTTTTGCAGAGGAATTGTTTTCTTTGTAAAATTTGAATTTCAAGGGATGTCAGTGTTCATTTATGCCATTTCTGCATTCCAAGATGGTTCTATTCCATTTTAGAAATTTGAAATATGTAATTTGAAATTCTTAAATAAAATTTGGGCTTAATTTTATTTAAAAAAAAAAGATGGAAATAGTTGATACATTGGTATTAGGTCCTAAGATGGTAAGTACTGATAGGTTTGCTCTTAAGATCAAACTCTTGGTGGTCCTCATTAATCTTTAAAAGTATAAAACAGCTCAGAAACTCAGAATATTTGAAAACTGCTGCCATAAAATATTTTATTCATTCTATATAATAAAATAACTTCACTTTATGCCTCAAAGATGTTAGAATAGAGAGACAGTTACTCAGATAATTTTGTATTCTTCCAGAAACACAATGTCACTATTTGACAAAAAAGAGGATGGAACTTATTTCAAAAACCTTCCCTAAGTAAACTATAGTCATATATTTGTGTGTCGCTAGTACTGAGCAAATGGCTCATGTCCCAATTTGCTCAGGAAAAAATGTATTGACTTGGAAAATAAACAAAGAAAACAAAACCCATGAAAAAAGGGAGCACTTCAGAATTCTTAATAGTCCAAAACATAACTCATGCAGATTGTGGACTTATCACTGAAAATCCCATGTTAATATTGTAGTTTTGTAGTTAAGAATGAAGCTTAAATGGAGGAGAGCATGTTGAGATCTAGATATGCTGTCCTAACAGCTATGAAACTTGAGTATACAGAAGGTCTGTGTGTGGAATTTGTTTAAAATTCAGATATTTGACTACCCCTTGAAAGATTCTAGTTATAAAGGACCTGCTGTCTACATTTTAACCAGCTTCCCAGATATGGCTGGTGTATAGTGTCTATAGATCAAGTTCTGAGAAGCATTGTACAGTACAAAGAAAAATTGAGATGCTTAATGAGATCATAGGAATCAAATGCTAAAAACAGTTCTAAATTGTGAGGGATGGTTTGTTTTTTCTGTTTATATGTAAGTAGATGTTATACCAGAATGACATTAAAATAACAATAATAAATTAATCTACTATTTAGTAAGGAAGAATAAGGTGAGTTGATTGTAAAAGTGTTTGGAGAGTGAACGTGGGTGGGTAGGTGCATTGCACAGAGGAAGGCTATTGTCACTGTTGATTGGGAGGTATAACAAGTACAAATCGCTTGTGAAGGTGTCTACCCTTTATGATGTGCAGAACTTAATGAACCTGTGTTTTCCTCTTTTAAAGATGTATGCACTCCATCTGCTCTTATGTCTGGTATCTGTTCTCCATGACTCCATACAACAGGTAGGCATCATGAGCATGGCACAGAAGAAAAGCAGATAGAAGCTGTCTCTTCATGCAGCCCCTAAACATGCAAGAAGTGTCCATAAATACATTTTTGTCATCTAACCCTCAGAGTAGCTAATCTTCATTAATCTGTGAAGAAAAATAAGGCTTTCAGGAATGAAAGAATACATTGTGTTATTTATATTTAAAAGTAGCAAGCAAAATATATATAACCTATATATTTATGGTGTGGTACTAGATTTTAAAGTGAGATTCAGAAATTCTCTCTGGAAAAAATGATTTTACTTTTTTGGCTTTCTGCTTCCTTTCTAGCAATATTTTTCTGTTTTGTTAGCTTATTAATTTTAAAACATCAATTTTAAAATGTTACATATGCAACAGAACACTATTAAGCCTTAAGGAAGGAAATCCCGCATTTTGTGATAACATACATGAGACTGGAGGACATCACATTAAGTAAAATATAGATGTAGGAAAAAAGGTACTATATGATCTCATTTACATGTGAAATCTGAAATAACCAAACTCACAGAAGCAGCAAGCAGAAAGGTGGATGCCAGGGAGAAGGGGATTGTAAATTGGGAAGCTGTAGGTTCAAGGGTACAAAGTTAAACAAGATAAATAAGTTCTGGAGATCTAATGTACAGCATGTCAACTATAGACCATGATATTGTATTATATGCTTGAAGTTTATTAAGAGGCTAGATCTTAGTGTGCTCATTATAGAAAGAAAAAAGAAAACAAAGAGAACAGTTACTACATGAGGTGGTAGATATGTACTTACCTTGATTTTTTGTCAGATTTTTATTGCTAGGAGAAAGCACTGACATATACAACTTAAAGGAGAAAAGGTTCATTTAACTTACAGTTTCAGGGGGTTCAGTCATAGTTAGTTGACTTCAAAGCAGAGAGAGATTCTCAAAAGACACATCCCTATGAACCATTTCATCTAGACAGCCCTCATCTTCTAAAAGTACATTAGACTATGAACATCATGGATTAATCCACTGATGAGTACAATAGCTCCATGTCCCAGTCACCTTCTGAGAGCCCTATTCTGAGCACATGAGACTTCTGGGGGCATTTTAGATCTAACCCATAACAGTAGTTATCACATGAAAATCACAATACAATGTTCAGTATTCTAAAACAATAAATTATCCACCATAAATACACAAAATTTCAATGTAACACTTATGTCTTAACACCAGAAATAAATTCTTGCCAAGTATGGTGGTCCACACCAAAATTCCAAGACTTTGAGAGGCTGAGGCCAGAAGACTGTAAGTTTGAGCCCCGCCTGGGCAACTTATGAAGACCCTGTCTCAACTTCAACATAAAAAATAGAAGGCTAGTAAGAAGGAGAGAGAGAGAGAGAGAGAGAGAGAGAGAAGGGGGAGGGAGAGAGAGACGAGAAACAGAGAGACAGAGAGAAGAAAGAAGGGAAGCAAAGCTGTCTTTGGAGAATCACTGTACAAGCTTTGTGGATAACCCCAGAAAGCAATATTTCATTATGAAATTTAGACCAAAGACTGAATGCTTTCATTTGTACCTACTTCATACTTAGGATAGCATTTCATTGTCTGACTTAAACTCTGAAAATGAAGAGATACAGAATGTAATCCTTCCTCTTCACAATGTAGCAAGGTCACCAGTAATACCATCTGCAAGCAATATGCTGAAAACGGTAAGATGAACACGCAGAAGAGAAGACAATAAAACCCTTCAGCAACATTTCCTCTCAACCTAGAAGCAACCTTTAAGGCTCATTTCTAATTAATCTATGGAAGGTTTTATTCAAACTTCAGGTTCTACTGTTTCATTTTCTAAGAACATGCTTATCACACCTTCCCTAAGCCATTCTGTCCACTTGAAATACCCAATTTCCTTTTACACCATCCCATCTCTCTTGATAGAAGAGAGTATTTGTATTTGGAAGCTCATATCAAATGTTCTGTTTTATACAAATTCTTCATAATACTGCCAATCAGATGTAATTTATTTGGGGAAGGGAAGAGGATGTTCAACATAATTGTTCTCCCAATTCTTTTGAACCCCTAAGCTTCTGTTGACACATTCTGTTTTTGTTGTTGTTATTGTGAGAAGATCTGATGTAGGTATACCCCACTTGAAAATATCATGTTACTCGTACACCTCTTATAGTTCTAACACAGTGCTGAGTTTGTAGTAGTTTTTAATTTAATTTTATTTTTTTCAGCTTTAATTGAGTTTATTTATACATTTTAGGGATACAGTACAGTTACATTCATTGTTGGGATCTTGTGCCTCTACATGACAAGTCTTGATTCTCATTTTTTCCCCTAACCTTTGCGTTCCCTTGACTCCCTCCTCCCCTCCCCACCTACAAACACTTTATTTTCATCTTTTCACTCTCTCACATTTTTTTCCCTTTTTACACTTCCCCCACCCATCCCACCTTCCCTACACCTTTAGCTCCTTTCTTCCCATTTCTAAATGTCAGTAATCTTATTAGAATCTTATGCATTGTTGCAGATTACTCACACCAGGGAAACTATTCGGTATTTACACATGTGTGACTTATTTATTTCATTTAGGAGTATATCTTCAATTTCAATATGTATCCATTTTCCAATGAATGAATCTATTTTCTCATTCTTTATGACTGAGTAATATTCCATTTTATAGAAAAACCACATCTTCTTTATCCAGTTTCCAATGGATGGACAAATGGGCTGTTTCCAAGATTTAGCTATTACAAACTGTGCCGCTATAAACATGGGTGCACATACTTCTCTGTGATATGATTCTTTTAGTTCTCTTGGGAAGATACCCAGCAGAAGGATGGCTGGGTCAAATGGAACCTCCAGCCCAAGCTCTTTGAGGTATCTCCATATTGATTTCCATAGTGGTTGCATCAGTTTGCACTCCCACCAACAATGGAGAAGGGGTCCTTTCTCCCCACAACCCTGCCAACATTTGTTATTGTGTGCTTTCTTGATAGCAGCCATTCTTTGTGGGATGAGGTGGAATCTCAGTGTTGTTTTCATCTGCATCTCTTGAACGACCAGTTATGTGGAACATTTTTTCAAATATTTTCTTGCTGCTTTTACTTCTTTGTCTGAGAAATGTCTGTTCATTTCGGATGCCCATTTTTGAATCGGGTCTTTATGTTTGGGGGGGCTGATTGTTTTGAGTTCTTTATATATCCTTGATAATACTCCTTTGTCTGAGGAACAGCTGGTAAAAATTTTTTCCCA